AAGAGGAGAACGGAGACAGGAAGAAACAAGCACTTCTTCTAAATCGGTTTTTAAGAACCAGTCATTCTAGGCAGGACTGAGCACTATTAATATCCCCCAGGCCTCATGATAGAGTCGTTCTTAGAACTTAAGATACATTTGCCTTTGTGATTGGTCTTTGTTTAAGCACACAAGTATTTTTCAGAGATATTCTCAGTGAGGTACTGAGTAATATGTAATTTTTTTTTTTTAGCCCAGAGAAGAATGGAGGAAAACATTTTAAAATTGGTAGTCACATTAATCTGTTTTAGACACCGTCCTTCATAGTACAATGTAAGTAGTCCTTAGCATGTCAGTAATGGTATATATATAATCAAACAATATTTTAAATGCTCCCCAACAAGGTTAGCAATTCTCTTCCTTTTTCTTTTCAGTTTCCCATATTCAGTTTCTGATTATTTCACATGCAGCCCTTGAATTAAACTTCTCTGGTCTGGGAGCACCACACTGCACCACTCCACAGTTACCTTGACGAGCCAAGTGTTGCCTCTCTGGTTAAACAAAACAAAACAAAACGAGGCAGACATCAGGGCTGCTTTATGTTTGACTGGGAGAGCACAGCAGAGACAGTCTGCAAGATGTAGCCCAAAATCTCCAGATGGCCAAGACTGACAAAACATGACTCATTAAGGGGAGGCAGTGAGGTCCAAGAGCAGCTCCCAGGCAGGAATAAACCCTGAGCCCCACACCTAGAGACAGAAATAGGCCATGCTGATCAGTTGCAGCATGATCCAGCAGAGTCCTTACTTTGACCTGCTGCCAGGAATTCATAGTATCAAGCAGCCCTTGTTGCCAGCACAGTCCTGTGCAGTCCGAGGTTGCAGCCACAACACCCTTTAAGTGCTTTAGAAGCTCACAAACCTAAATTGCCTTGTAGCATATTGATAATGGCAAATGAAGCTGCACACAGGCTGCTGGTAGTGCAGCAGGTAGCAAGGGAAGCAGATGATTCCTGACTGCAGAAGACAGCTTATCTATTCTCACCTGGGAAAACCTTTTTGAGAGGCAGCAGCTGGCAGTACAAGTCCCAGTACTGTCCTTCTGTAGACTGGCCATGTTGGGTATTAGGAAACATATCTTCACTGGAAAGGTTGTCAAGCCCTGGGATGGGCTGCCTGGGGAAGTGGTTGAATCACCATCCCTGGAGGTGTTTAAAAGCCATGTAGATATGGTGCTCAGGGGCATGGTTTAGCAGTGGACTGGATAGAGTTAGGTTAATGGTTAGACTTGATGGCCTCAAAGGTCTTTTCCAACCTAAATGATTCTATGCTCCAGTTCCTTGAGTGTCCAAAGAAGAGCTTTAGAATAGATCCTTTCCAAGCTGCCTGCAGACATTACTTTGTACTCTTCAGGGTGGTAGACTTGAAGACACCAGCCTCAGGCTGAGTTACCATCTTAGGTCATTACAGGGTTTGCAGGAGACGGTTGGAAAATTAAAAAAACCCAAACTACTAGGAAAATAAAATACAAACCTCAGTTTTAGCTTATGGTTAGTAGAAGATATAGCCTTACTTATTTTAGAGCTAACTCAACTAACATCCTTAGGGAGGGGAAATAGCCAGGGAAGTGAGGCTGCAAACTTTACAGGACAACCTAATTCTCTGATAACTAACATACGGTTCTGAGTTTCTTCCTCTGTTCCCATAATTTAGGAGAATCCAGCTGCATTGAGCCATTTGTCAGCAACGTAGCAACATTCAGCACAGCTCAGAATTAATAGCAACCCTTTTTTCCTGTTAGGTATGACACTTTCTCCCTGTCAAGTTTTACCAAGAATAAAGCGGGTAAAAAAACCTTCCAAACTTAACAAAGGCAAAGCATTCTGCTGATCTCTAGCTGTAGAGTAATATCCATGCAGATCTTGCTTCAGCAAGGAAATAAGGCAAAAGAATAGAGTGATGGTGCCTGTTATTTGTAGGTGGAAGAGTCTCACTGGAGGTCCAAGGACAGGAACCCTCCCTCCCCCTATTTTTTTTCCTTTTTCTTTTTTAAACCCCTCTCCTGTGTGTAAAGGAGTGTACAGTTGCCTATCATTCAGGCTGGCTTGGACAGATCTCAGAATCCTTTTCCCTCTGCTGGCAGCCAAAGAATGCAGCACACACAAGCCCAAATAAAACCTCTCTGTAACTGATATTTGTATGCTAAGTAATGTTGAAGTACACTGTGCTAGCTCAGGGGAGCAGGATTAAGTATTTTAACTGGCTGGGACTTTTCTCCTGTAACTCAGCACATCCAAAGTTTAAAAAACAGATTAAGAAAAAGCAGAAGAGGAAAGAAAAAAATTACATCAGTAGCCAGTAGTAGCTGCCAGTTCTGGTGGCCATAGAACAGAGAAACAACAGGACAAGGAGCTGTGACAGGACAGAAAAAGGGCATTTACTGTCATCTCAGCTTCAAAGGGAGGTTAGAGAGCACAATCCTCCAGCCCTCCTTTATTGGGAATATAGAACAGAGCATCTTCCCTGTGATATTCCTTTCACTGCTGCTGCATGAGGAAGTTGGAGTAGGGACAGGGGCATAAACTGCACTTCCCCGTGTGTGCAGGGAAGATGGCAAGACACATAGGACTTGTTCGAGTGTAACATTCAAGCAACCATCCATGTTACATATTTTACTTTCCTGATGGGTCTTTTTGTTTGTTTGTTTTAGTAGTTGATGGCCATGCACACAGAAGGGTGCAGCACCAAGACCAGAAAAGGAATATAAGTTTGTAAACACCTGGCTGGTAGAAGACGCTGTTGGTGGTGGCTCCAGCAAACAGGACCCCTCCTTTTCAAAGCTACTGTTAGAAGACTTATGGAGAATTATCAGCA